AGTAAATATCGCCTAGAAGGGCTCATGTCCATGGGAGACATTCAAAACAGGGCATTCAAAAACCGCTGGTAGGTGACACTAGGACTAAGCCCAGGAGAGGGGAGAAACGCCAGGGAGAACAAAGGTTGCTCACGTCCTTCCCCAGAATCCCTTCCCCTCCCTAAGGCTTAGTCCCAAGTTCTGTAAGTGGTTCACTCACTTCAATGACCCCTAACAACATAAGCGCTCGCCCAGCTACCAGTGCACACGGAGTAATGAGTCATGCAATTGTGGGGAAATGAATGAAAATTTCTCACCAAAGACGACGATGGGGAGTGAAACGCAAAGTATGGCCGCAGCTCTACCTTGAGCGGTCAATTGAGTAGAAGGATCACTCCAAACAATTGACTTGTAGTGGTTTTGGTGAGCAAGGTGCTCAAATAAACTCAGAACTGTTATCGGGTCTGAACGGTTTCAAAAAATATGAAAATGTATGTGAGAAAAAAAAACAAAATAAAAACGCGCCAACTTTTCGGATTTTAGTGAACACACTCCAAAACCTTCGCAGAGCTGCAGTTGGAAGTTCGGATAAAGAAAAAAGAAGGCTAACACTGTTACCCACACTTGAAATAGGCTACTTCCATGATCCCCACCTTTTGAAGTAAATTTGAAGAAGTTTAAAGAATAACATTAAATCTTTTGTTTCTATAGTAGATATAATTTCATTTCATTATAATCATCCGCTTCGCAAATGCTCACGTGTTGATCTGCAAACGGCGCCCAGTTTCCTAGCTACCACTTTTAAATATGACTATTTTCAGACTGTGATCTATCACGATTGCATGGAAACCGCTGGTAATATCATACAATCACTTTGTGATTATTTCGTAATCGATTGCACTAGAGGCACATGCCGAATTTCCAGAAAAATTCGCCGAAGTCGAGGAAATCTGCAATGAGGTGAGTTTGCCTCAACAGGCGGGGAGAGAGAAAAGCTCACCGGCAACGCGGACGCGAGCGCGTGCTGGTGACGTCACAGCTGCGGCAAGAGCAATGGAAAACGGGCCAGCACCACTGACACTTCACTCGAACAGTAACAGAGTTGCTGGCAGAGTGAAATGATTGTAGTACGTAAAGATGCCATCCTCGTGCTAAAGAATAGGAATTTTTCAAAGCGTAATGTTCCGATTGTAGTATGATCCGTAATGAAATGAAAGAAGTCAATCCTCTCATTTGCGGACCCTTTGGAGTGCACAATCAAGCTGAAGTTGTTTCCATGAACCCGTTCTTCCACTTTTGATCCCACGTCACACCCAGTGCTTACTACACAGTGAAGTTAGATTAAATCATGTTCGCAATGTATTGAAATATTGGCGGCAACGTCAGCCGTTGCTCGTTCCATTGCCGCCGCTCTGACGTCAAAATGACGTCATCAACACGCGAACGCGTCCGCGCCGCCGGTGAGTTTTTTTATGCAGCCGCCTCCACACTTCCCCCTGCAGTCTTTCGGTATCTATTTTCGTTCTAATTTCAAAGGAAAAAGTGTCAAGGGATAGAAATAAATTATGTAGAATCGCACCAAAATCCAGTACTTCCACCAGCGCTGCTGAGCACTAGCTCACGCCTTGTTAGGGATGTTACCATGTTTTTATTTTCATCAAACCATAAATGAAGGATCCAACTGAAAATTCCATTTGGCACCGTAAAGGAAGAAGTCAAATTTCTGGATGAATCCGCCGAGTTCCTCACGACCATAACTACATATTTATGAGTTTCGGAGACTGGTCACGTATGCCCGTTTTCATCCTTGCTTTAGCTCGATTCCATGTATGACGTACGGGATCGTTTGACAACAGACCTCACCGAAAAGCAAAGCATGCTGATGGAGGTGGTCGTCAGAGCGGAAGACGCGATTGTCATCGACGATCTGTAGGTCCCTTTACCCAGATCAATTATTATTTGTTTTTCGGAAAAATTAATTTTTAAATTATTTTATTTCGGGAAAAAATCAATTTTTTAAAGGGATCTCGTCCGCAAGTACTACACACGACTTCGCAATATGGACCGCAGCGTTCGACAAGCATTCCATCTTCGAGCGAACAATCATGAGAGATTTGTTGAAGCACTTCGACGGTTACATAAGATCATTGAACAGGCCGCCAAGTTACGATGTTAAGCCTTTTCTCAGTGTTATTTACTTAGGAAAAATGAGAGCGGTTATTCCACAAGGGCGTCCCAGACGGCTAGAAATTGCAAAATCGCCGTGATGCGTTATTAATTTCCGAATTATCAAAATACTGAGTCAGAATCATCACGTTCCACAGCCGATTCTGCAGCCGCAACGCGACAGCGCGTGGCAGCACAAGTGGAACCCGTCCTGCGAAATAGACTGAAATTTATCTAAAGAGTATGTACAGCAAATATCGCATATATTGGGATGGGGAATGATTAAACAATAGATATGGATGTGTTTCCAAATCTAACTCTTCTGTTCATATCAGATCTAAAGTCAGTACGCATCACTTCAACGGTGTGCATGGCTTGCCCTTTCTGTCTATATAAGCTCCACCCACCCACGCCCTCCCTATCCCCATGTAAAAATGAATTACTCGATTTAGCAATTAAGAATTACAACCAACGTAATCAGGCGATTCATTATCACGAATTAAAGGCGAATTATACGATGGAAAAGCAACCCAAATTAAGTTAGGGATGGTGAGTGGTACACGAAAGAAGGAAAAACCATGAGAAACGGCCCAACCCGAGAAATGGGACCCCTTCCTTGCCCGTTGATTTGCGCATTGATGCGACTCTCATCGCTGTGCCCTCTTCAACACTACGCTCTCTCTGCTATCTAATCACTCGCCACGTATAGACCTGCGGCGAGTGATTAGATAGTCGGTGGGCGTACCCCGCCAACCGCGCCAAGAGTGAGCCATGCTAGATCGCCGAGGTCAAATCTTTCGCTGCCAATTGCGCGTCGGTCAGCACCCTCAGGAGGTCCGCCTGTCTCCCAACTATGCAATTTCCCCTTCTTTGACCTTCGTTCTTATCGTGAATTCCTCCCAATGAAAAATCGATATTTAAAATCTGTCGTTAAGGCGGCGAACCAAGCCGAAAGATTGTCTCCGCCTGCCGTGAAGCGATTGCTGACGACAATAAGAGCATTCTGGCAAAATATTTGAAGTTTGGAGTATGAACGTCGAGTCGCCTCTTTGCAATATCTAAATATTTATTCTGAATAAAAGTGCCTCAGGAAGCTAAAACATTGAACACAACTATATTCCCAGAACTGACAAAATTGGACACACTTCCTTGCAAAATTGAGAAAAAAACCTAAAATACATTCA